GAAAGAAAATTTCCATCGTTTGGATGGTAATGTCGTTTTTTTCGCATGAATCGTGTATGTTTTTCATATCATTTGAAAGGTCTACTTTATACGCATCTATTGACATCTCCTACAAAATGGAATTGTCCAGGGAACAAAAACCATTGTAGATGCTTTCTGAGCACAACTTTGGTTTAGATGCTGCTGATGCTGTTCTCCAAATTAACAAAGCTTGGGGCAACCGCACTGTTGAAGATTCAACAGTCCGTGAGCGATTTCGTGGTTATAGGCCTGAAATGAGGAGTTGACCGACAGACCAAGATCCAGACGACCAACCGAAGCTAAGACATACCATTTCACAAAATACCGCATGAAAAAGCTGTAGAAATTTTTTGGGCAGCTTAATAGTATTACAGATAATAAACTCGTAAAAGTACCAACCTGTTAACGATGGCCTCTGGACACGATCTATACAGGTATTATTCTCCTCACATTACACTTTGTGTTCTGTGAACGCGTTTCACGTGCTTCCGCAACTCGTTTGGAAGTGGATATCTAAATGCAGTGATTAAGGGAAGTGAAAGAACTGGAATTATTTCGCATAGTACAAAAATAACCTTTCTCGGCAGAAAACTAGCTTAAATGCAGATAGCACGCCACAAATATCGCAAGCAATTCAAAGGAAACATTAATATCGCTATTGGTACCGCGTTCAATTGTCGCCTACCACACGGCGTCGATCGACTATCCGACGGGGCGTAATCTAATGACAATGTTGAAGCTTTATGATGATAATGCGATTTCTATAGTCGTTAAAGGGCATTTTGCGATCAACGAAGAGTAGAATATTTTTGGACAACTTCATTAAGGCTATCAATCATAGGAACAACGCAAATACTTCTTGATGAATAACACAAAAAGCGATTTGTTCCTCATAAATATACTGCACACTGATTAGAAGAATGCCCATGATGCTGTTGGAAATATCAAATCCTTTTTACTAGGTATTCTCAGGAGTTCTGTCACTGCAGTAATATACACGTAATTTTCTGAAGTAATTAAAAATGTACAGGAACACTTCCAGATTATGCGCCATCGCCCTGAACACATTATTGCCAGCTCTTAGGCGATGAAAACCGCGCTCATAGAATCATCATCCTTGAATTTGAAGAAAGTTGTTAATTCTCAGCGCAAGTGATTAATCAACAGTCAGACGGGAACAAGTCAGAACTCTATGGCGCATAATTCACAAGCTGCCAGTTCAGTTCAATCAACTTCTCTTATGTGAATTTTGTGACATGCGGCTTTTCATTCTCTTCAACAAGCATGAGATTGCGGCGACGTCGACGTGACAGGGACTGACTGCAGGTGCTCACAGTAGTGATTGGCGTTAATTAGTCTCCTCGGCTGGCAGCATGTCCCAGTCGATCGGCTCGGTCACTTTCAAAAGAAGATGAGCATAGCCTTTGGCGCGGATCGATTTGAACCTGGAGCTGTAGTTCTTCGTTGACCTGGTGATAGCCATTGATTCGGGCGAGTCGAAAGTCGATGTTAGGAGTAAAACCATATCTTGCAAATGAGAGGAAGGATCCTAAGTCTTGACTCACGCCAACAATCAAAGATAAGAGACAACCGTTCTTCAAAGTTATCGTAAATAAGATGGGTCGCACACGTATTGTGCTTCATCAACAACCGATGGGCGATGGCCGTTACCGACTATGTTCCTTGAGATGTTAACTCCACAGGGAGGCCACCTACTCGACGGAGTCGTTTCTTCATAAATGCTCAGAAGAAAGACATGACGCTCAACAAATCTCTGGAGCGAAAAGAATCCACTGGGTTACTCTTGCACGCGATAGGAAAATTAGAAATTTTGCTGATGCCCGCTCGAGTTACTCAACGATGAGTGGAACAGCTGCCAGCTCCAGCCGAGCAAATGACGAAAATTGAGTGTTAAACATAATTTTATTTTAGCTGCTGCAACGTAACAAAAAATCTTTTCCTAAAACTGAACAGATCATTGAAATCGCAGAAATTTTAGCTTTCTAATATTTATCAAATGTCCAGGAGAAGACTTTCACATAGCGAGTAAGGCCTTCAAACAATTTTGTACCTCAGCAGGTGCACGACGTCCCTAAAGGGTTAGAAAAAGGAGCGTCTTTCTCAAGAGATCGAAAAAAGGTGCGGTTTACGGAGATAGTCTAAGCTTGCGAAACCCAATCTTCTCTTCGCTGTTGAAACGCAACAAAAGTTCTTTTCAAAAACCAAATATATCGTCGAATCAACAAGATTTAAGTCACCGAATGATTGCTGAAAACTGAATAAGAAACGCAATTTTATTTTTTCTATTACAACAAAGTAAGAAAGCCGATTCGAAAAAAAAGTCTTCAAATTTTTTGAGATTCAAGCTATCGAATCACTACCTATACCTCAAAACCAACGAAGATAACTTTTCCAGAAATGGGATCGGATAGCGGAAATGATGGAGTTTTGGAAAATATGGACGATCAGAGATACATAGCCTGAAAGTTTGGCCTTATTACCACGGAATTTCGGCAGAGATTTCTGAGTAGGCCGAATGAGGATAAAAAAAGCATCAATTTGTCCGTACTGTTTTAACATAATGTAGATTTTGTTGCTACTTACCTCAGTGAACACTTGTCTATGGTCCTTTGGTAAATTCATAGTCTTCTTATATTTAGTGTTCGACATGCACGCTAAGATGTTGCGGCTTTCTCTGTGATCGGAAGTGGAGCCCATCTAAAAATAACATTGCAACGCTTCATTTTAGAAGAGCAAACCAATAAAATAAATTAATAAACGAATTGAATCAATAAACAAAGCAATAACCAGTAAAACTAAAGAAATAACGTCCCATTTTATGAATGACATGAATATTCAAGATCGTGTCGAGGCGACGGATGACCTAATGACACGAGAAAGCTGAAAGGATTTATAACAACGATTTGGCGGTAGCCTACACGTTCGACACAACGCGACCTTCTTACGTTTCACCCTTTAATGAAACGTCAGCAAGACCCTATTATTGTTCAAAAAGGTAGACCTTCACGACATAGGCAATTAGCGCCCAATCTGCTGCTGTCCGTTGTCCATAGACTCTTTACTAGAGTCATCCCAAACAGGGACTGACAGAACATTGGACAAAGGACAGTCATGCGAACAAGCAGGGTTTTCGAGAAGGATTTAGTATCACAGGCAACGTCAACGCGATTACAAGACTCACTGAAGTTTCACAAGAGTACAAACTACCGTTCTGTCCCACTTTCATCGATCTAAAGAAAGCCTTTGATTCAGTGGAAACAGAAGCGGTTATAGAGGCTCTGGATAACCAGGGCGTCCCTACTCGGTACATAATGATCCTTCGTGAGCTTTGTAAAGATTTCACCACCAAAATATCTTCATTCTACAACAACATCACCATTGACATAAGAAGAGGGGTTCGACAAGGCGACACAGTTTCGCCAAAACTATTCACTGCTACCTTCCAAAACGTCATGCGAACATTAGAATGGGACGTTATGGGATGAGAATTGACGGTCGACAGTAAAACCATCTTCCTTTTGTTAATGATATCGTCCACATAACACCAAACATCAGCCAAGCGGAATGAATGCTGACAGATTTCGACAACGCTATGGAAAGACTGGTCTTCAACTTAATCTAACCAAAAACCATGTTCATGAAGAACGGATAAGTTCTGAATGCCCCATTCACGCTCAACGAAACGACAATCTCCGAATGCTCCAGTTACGTCTATCTAGGTCATGAAATCAACATGATGGACGACCTAGCTCCAGAGTTGAGCAGGAAGAAAGAGCGGTTAGCGGAACGTTTAAGAGCATCGAATTTGTAGTGAAAAGAGCAAAAAACATCACACTCAGTGCCCACCTTTCCGACTTGACGGTTATCCCTGCACTAACGTATACAGCACAAACCTGTTCGCTAAGTAAGCAGGATGAAAGATTTTTTGGCGTTATTAAACGCGCAGTCGAAAGGTCGATGCTAGGAGTCTCCGTATCTTGCAAATGACAGAAAGGATCCAAAGTTCCGACCTACGTGAACGATCGAAAATCAGAGGACGCCGTTCTACACCCAGGATATCGAAAATAAGGTGGGCCGACACGTTATGCGCTTCAACGACAAACCGATGGACGAGAGCCGTTACCTACTGGATTCCTCGGGACATCAAGCGCTCAACAAGAAGACTACCGACGCGTTGGCCCGATTTCTTCACGAAAGGTATATAGGAAAGATATGATGCTCAACAAATCCTTAGAACAAGGAGGACTCACTGGACTACTCTTGCACGCGATAGGGAAAAAATGGAAGTGTTGCTGGTACCAGCCCGAGTCACTCGACGACCAATGGGACGACAGGTGATACGGACGGACGCGAGGCCCATTTCGTGATTTTGAACTTGCATCCATCTGCTGATGCAGATAGGTTAACGTAAGCTACAACTACGTTTCGCCCATCGCTTGGGCGATCGTTCAAAAAACAATTGTATTCCCTCAGAGTACATAGAATACGACGTGTGTACCAGCGAACAAAAGGTAACGCCTACTATTGGTATACCTTGGTTCTACTTCACTGTTGAGTCCACTCGCGAGAGCAGTTATCTTTAAATACAGTGTAATCCTGAAGTTCTTACACAAAAGAATCTGTAAGACTCCATAGAATCTAAAAAAGACTATTTGTTTAAGCAAAAAATAGATGGCTGTTAACCAGTTGATAGTCAAGAGTTCTAGTATTTTTACTGCTTTTTCGCAGTGTTATGATGTTTCATAAATACCTAAGAAAATTGAGTGGTAAGCAAAAACGTGGTCGCAGGCGGGAATTGAACCCGCGTTTTCACTCTGTCCGGGGACGCGTGCTCTGCCACTGCACACCGAGGCACATTTCCCAGCCACCGTGACTGATATCTAACCTAGACATGTTGAAGAATGAATTGGCTGATATCTAACGTAGAGATGTTGGAGAATGAGTGGTCGCGCAAATGTGCTCCGGTGGTGTAATGGTGGAACACGCCTCCCCGGATAGGATGAAACGCAGGTTCGATTCGGGGCTGAGGCTATCTTTTTGCTCCCTTCTTTTCTCTTTTTGCCCACTCAATTCTCTTAGGTAATTTAATAGTTTCAGAAATATTTCATCACTCCAAAAATCTTCTACAAGCAGTGTAATAAATCCAAAGCAAGAAAATTCAGGAATAAATAGGAAAACTTACTCAGAGCTTCAATTTTGAAAAACAATATCAAAAAATCCCATGTGAATATGATAAGCAAAAACAGCATCTATTTTTTCGTTTCTAGGATGTGTGATGAAAGGCCATAAGCGAATCAAACTATTATCAAACTCAATATTTCTCGAGAAATTGAAGGAGTGTAAAACATAGCTAGATAAGAGGAAACTTCCCAGAACAGTTCGAAAAATGTTTCATTCCAGAGTAATGCGTTTTAGTCATGAAAACATGGATTACTTCTTAACTTTTCTATCATGCCAAAGGTTGCTTGGAATTATGATTCTGCCATGTTATACCAAAAAATCGGCTGTGAAGTAGAACCAATATATACCAACAGCAAAACGCCACATTTTGCGTTAGTAAACGCAGTATCCCAAAGACTTCGAGGAAATGCAAAGGACTTGGAGATCACCCTAACGATGGGCGAGGGTGCTTATGGCTAACCTCAACCATCTACATCAGCAGATGGCAACGAGTTTAGAATCAGGAAATGGGTCCCGCGTACGTTACCATGGTTGAAATAGGCCATTACCATGAACGAAAACTGAGCAAGAAAAAACGAAGGAAACTATGCTAAGGTCAGCGCTACCAGTCTGCACTAAATATCCAAGTATCCAAGTAAGCAAACGTAATATGAAGGTCAGATTACAAACCAATCAATATGCCAAAACTGGCACATCTCAGGCTTTTGAATGATATAAAAGCATAGACTATGAAAAAGGAACAAATGTTACATAACAGAAAATATAAATTACTGTCCTCAGCGATGCAGTTTTCACTCTGGAATATAGGTGATTTTTGGCATATGGGAGTTCCTCAATCTTAAAAAAAAAACCTTTACAAAAAGTCTTCTTTGCCGTATCTCAAACAAATTAAGGTGATATTACCCCTAAAACCCATTATTCACCAGTTATGTTCATATATCACCATTACAGCGTGCCCAGATATACCATTCACTCCGCGTGAGACGTGGAGAACGACGGCGCATATAGATGCCACTTGGCGCCCAAGGGGTTGAGTAAGTTCAATGGTAGATGAAACTTTGAAACAGAGAGTATTGCAGCAGTAACGTGATGTCAAAAATAAGGGCTCTAAAAAGTTTCTTACACTGGAAACATTCTTTCGCATTCATCTTTACATGGCTAGTTCAATAAAACTTCCATGCAAAATGAGTCGCCCTATATAACCCCTTCCTTCTCCATCTGCCCTCTGCGTGAGGCACCTCGAGTCAGCCTAACCTACGCAAAAATATAGCTGAACTTTTTTATGAAAAAGAAATGACTAAACAAAGGCCAGATTCCTTGAACCTCGACATGTTAATAATATAATGGGGAGAAAAGAAAAAGGAATAGGATATTTTAGAAACGAATCTTTACTTCAAGCTTTTGTGAGGTTCATATCGCTTATTCTATCGATTGTCGCTCTTGACAATCGACGGATCTTCTTGAGATTTAGTGCCTGCGTTTCGGCGCGGTGGCTTTCCTCAGAGCCTGGGCGTATTATCCTAACTTTAATCATGTAATTGCCATTGTAATAATTATAATGATAATCAACTATTAATATGATTATATTTCTATGATTAGAGTCACAACAATACGTTCAGGTTCTGAGGAAGGCGACCGCGCCGGAAACGGCAGCCACCAATATTCAAGAAGATCCATCGATTGTCCAAGAGGAATATTCGAATGAATAAGTGATAAAAACCTCGCAAAAGCTCCAAATGAAAAAATGACTCTTGTGGAAAATCTCACGTAAATTTGAAACCTACGTGGCTTCCGTGAGAGTGCGCTCCTTAGTGCCTAATTTTGTCTGAAGTGTTTATTGTGCATGAGCCGCGATGCACATCTGCAGATTCAGCAAATTCGTCTATCTTAAATGGATTAATAATTGTTTCCAAAAGCTCTGCTAAGGATAAATTAATACAGTTGCAAAATTAGCCGTTGACTCGAGGCTGCTTGTCTTCAAAAGACTAAAATTATAGCGCTTCATATGAAATGTGATCCAGTCTTTGAGTAAACATAACCAAGTCAGGAACTTCTGCACGAAAGGAAATTATGGAAAATTGGCTAATCCAATCATGTCACTCCATGGTTAACAATATAATAGGTTGATCAGTTGCCATTGTGGTAGTTTTCTAAATGTTATCAGTTTTTGTCGCCATTATAGGAAAGTCCATCGCGATAAATCACAGAATATGATAGAGGAAGCTTCAACAAGATTACTTCTGGTTTAAGCGAGGTAAAAAATTACAACTCTTCAGACGTGTCCCTCACCGAAATATCTGACTGTATAGTTTTCGGTGCATTGTCTTCATTCAAGCATCTTGCATACTCACGAATCCATTCCTCTTTGGGCAAAACCGGTCCTATTTTTCCTAATTGGAGAACGAGGTCTTGAAAATCTTTCTTCACACAAGCGAAACACTCTCACCCTGTGGCGTTCGTGGAAACGACGGTCCCCGTTGACGCGATCGTTGTCTAAAACGTAATCGTAATTCAATTCAGAGAGCTGCAAATAAATGAAGAAGTTCTCATGGGTAACTCACGTCCTCTATCTTATTAAGTGGTCTTCATGCTTGTTGTCGCTGCCGAGCTATTGGGTCCTCTCATAGAACTGCGGTTGCCTTCCAATGAGGCCATCCCTTCAGTGGCGTTTTCTGATGGGTTAGATTGTTAGGCGACGAGGTAAAAGTAGTTTTAGACTACTCAGCTAAGGAAAAACCGAACAGACCTCATTGAAGGGGTGAAGCAGGCTAAAACGGGAGACGCGGCGGCGGCGTAGCAATACTGCCGTCGAGGAGGTCAAGGTAGCTGTCTGCCGACTCTTCGGCGGGGCCAGAGGTTAAAGTATCCTGGGCCTGTAACACAGCGGGGCCACGCGATCGGCCGGAGCTTGGCGTGGGAACCTTTACGAAGATGGTTGATCACCTTCTTCAATTTGAAAATTTCGCATTTCAGCGTCTGTCGTCTAATGCACTGTGCTGTGTGCAATTACGGCCGCTGCGACCACGGCAACCACGGCGATCCACGGCCTCGCGCCTTGCGAAATATGGCTGGAGGGGCGGGGCCTTGAGACCTGGTTGGGTTAAATGCCAGATGTATGTCACGACTATCAGTTCGGCCAAATCATTTCCAGAATGCTTCAGTTTATTGGCCGCGAGTATGTAGCATGGTCAGGGCCTCTGACGTAGTGCCCAAATCGACTTCAACTGCGATCAATCATTCAGTCGTCTTAACTGTTCTCATATTTATTTTGATTCAAATTCACACAAATCGCCGTCTGATCTACAGCTTTTTCGCATCTCGCTTGTGATAGCAGAAAATAGGTGCTGTATGGGTATTCCAAACTTCATATTCATTCCAAATGCAGCTCCTTTCAATGTTCCAAATCCTTCAGGGTCATATTATCGAGTTAATTTCTCATATGAACCACCTGAATGACTGTAGTCTCATTTCAGGATTCTGCATTATCATACAGAAGTGGAAACGATAAAGGTATCAAATCCCTGGACTGGATTTTATGATGGTTTCTTATGGACCCAGTGGGATGTAATATGTTTGCCTTGTTTTTAGTTGGGAACGAAAATATCAGTGCTTGTTTACATTACATATTGAATCAAAAGAATCTAAAAGCAAAGGTTGAGCTGAAATCTTTTTTGTGATGCTAGTGGGTCTTTACCTTACTTATGCTTAGTTTTTTTTTTCAAAAGTGAGGTCCTTCATGAGTTTCTTTTGCTTAGGTATAGTTTTTCCACCGTTAGTTTCGAGTATTTTCTTGAAACGACGCTCAAATTTAAATATATCACTCGTAATTCTTGTCTGAGGCAACCTGTCATACGGTCTGTCAGTAGGCTTTTGTACAGCGCGATACGTTTGTTTCGACCTTACAGTCTCGCCAGTCGGGCGGAACCCTTTGCCTTTTAGCCAATTCTCTGTGGGTGCTCCAGTCCCCACACCAAGAGTAGGCGACGACGAACGATTTACACAGCACTGCCGTCAAGTAAAATCCATTAGATCGGCAGTTTTGTATACTCGGTTGCTCTTGGCCGGTCTTTTGAAATAAATTATGCCGTTCGTTTCGAGTGTCTGCCTAAGACCACGCTTGAATTCCAAAATGTCTCGTAATTTACCCAATAATGTAGAGTGCTGTGCAAAAGTATCTGCTCAGTCGGGCTTCAAACCTGGATTCCACTCTTTTCCGGGAGCATATGCTAGCCGTCGCACCACCGACGCTCGTTTTCGCAGCACTCTTTCTGTCTCATAATTGTTTTTGAGCCAACTTGTCATGTGGCGGTAGTGTGGTGTGAATCGTTTGTTGTAGCCTACACTTAGTGTGGGGACTGGAGCACCCACATGGGGTTAACTAAAAGGCGAAGGGTTCTGCCCGACTGACGTGACTGTTAAGGTCGAAACTCGTGTATCGGGCTGTAGAAGAGCCCATTAATAGCCAACATGACAAGATGGCTTAGATAATCACCATGAGGTATAGATTTTCCAATACTCCCTCACTTTTCTTACTCTTTTATTGCTTATTGATCAATAGTGTAACTACAGTGGTTGGTGGAAGAATACTTGACGTCCTAATAACTTTCGGAAGCTTCGTGATATAGTAAATCATTGCGTCTGTACTTCCTATTAAGTTTTCTACCAATCTGTTCCATTCAAGTGATGGGGAACAAAGTTTAGATCTGTGCAGTATTTTGAGGTCACAAAAACCGAATGTCACTGAAGAATCTTTTACGAATGTTTTTTCTTTACTACAAACAACGTCCATATATCCTAACATTGAAAAATTGTTGAAAGTATCGACGAGCTCACACCTCATACAGTGAGCA